ACTGGCAACACGCACTGGTTGTACAATTTCGTTTTAAGGTTTTGAGGTATGTCTGACGAGAAGATGTGTCTTAGCTTCCCGAACGCTGCCCAGCCGAGTTGAATCCGTCGATTGACCTCTCGGTCGAAGTTGGACTTACCTAGTCGGACTATTTGTCCCAGGCAAACATACTCGTCAACAACTTCGAGCTTAGTGTTCCCAACAACTACCGGCATAGGTGTGACATGGACATTAAACATGATCTTTGTTTTGTCCATGTTCATCTTAAGACCTATCCGTTGGGAAACACTATTGAGGTCATTGAGCATAGTGCTTAGGTCCTCCAGCGATTCTGCCATAAGGACTATATCGTCGGCAAATCGAAGGTGAGTGATGTACTCGCCATTGATGTTGATACCGTATCCTTTCCAGTCCAGAAGCTTGAAAACGTCTTCCAATGCAGCGGTGAAGAGTTTCGGGGATATGACGTCACCCTGTCTTACACCTCTCTGCAATTGGATAGATTTCATGTCTGGTTCTGTACTCGGATAGCCATCGTAGCCCTACTGTACAAGCACTTCAACACTTCGATATACCGACAGTCAATTTGGCACCGCTGAAGGGAATGCAGCACCGCCCAAATTTCGACGGAATCAAAGGCTTTCTCATAGTTCACATACGCCAGACATAGTGGCAAATTGTACTCTTCGGACTTCTGTACAATATGCCGAAGGGTATGTATGTAGTCTATGGTGCTAAAGCCCTTTCGGAAACCGGCTTGTTCGGGAGGCTGGAAGTCGTCAAGTCTGCGCGCGAGACGATTCGTAATGACTCTCGAAATCAGTACGTAGACGCGGCTCAGAAGGGAAATCGGTCTGTAGTTCTTCAAGAGAGCGTTGTCACCTTTCTTGAAGAACAAGTCCACCGCACTTCTGCACCACGCCTCCGGTGTAATGCCACCATGGAGGACGGAATTAAAGAGCTTCTGAAGGACTTCAAGTACCGGTCTTCCACCCGCTTTCAGAAGCTCCGCTGTAATTCCATCCTCGCCTGGGGCCTTACCGTTTTTAAGGTGCTGGAGAGCCATTCTAATCTCGCTCAGACTGACGTCCGGGATATCTTCGGATTAGTGTCGGATGAGACTCGCTCTTGGATCGTTACTCACACTTGCGTGTGGCTCCAACGATGACGTGTACAACTGCCCATAGAACCTCTCAATCTTACTCAAAATCTCAGGTGTCCCGGAAACGATGCTGCCACATTCTGTCTTCAGCTTTGACAGTTAGTTGGCTCTTTCTGGCAGACAGTTCTCTGGCAAAGACTTTGGAGCCTTGGTTCCGCTCGATCGCTTCTTCAATACGAGCTGTATTGAAGTTGCGTAAGTCCCGCCGCATGCATTTGGAGATCTGTCTGTTCAGATGCCTGTATGCTGTCAAGTCTGTTGAAGAATGTAGCTTCATCTCCCGTCTAACAGCCATGAGATTAAGAGTGTGATCGGAGAGTTTTTGTGTTCTTCTGCGGCGGGTCTTGCAGAACTTAGCTCCGACCGCATGGACAGTTTCCACGAGCTTGTCATTCAAATCGTCCACTTCATTGCAGTCTTCTAGGCACTGAAAACGGTTTTGTAACTCGAGGTGAAAGGTTTCGGGATTTTGGATTAGAGCACGAGGGGGACGGAGCGTTGACTTCATTAGACGAGACCTCTCAAACTTAAAGTTTAGGTTCAGTGTGCCTCTAACCATTCGGTGATCGCTACCAGTTTTCACCCTCGCGATCACTGAGACATCACTGAACAGTTGTCGTCTGGTCGTCATAATGAAGTCAATCTCATTTTTTGTCGAACCGTCGGGGCTCGACCAGGTCCACTTCCTGTGGGGCCGCTTCTGGAAGAAAGAGTTCATCATAAAGAGGCCCTCTTTCTCCATGATGTCGGCCAGCTGCTGGCCCCTTGGGTTCCGTTGCCCTATTCCAAATTTCCCTACTTTCAGCTCACCGTTCTCTCTTGTGCCTAGTTTTGCGTTGAAGTCTCCCATTAACACCGTATATTGGGTTTTGGAGGAATGCATGGCTCTAGAGATATCCTCATACATTTCCTCCACCTCCTCATCGGGGTGTGCCGAGGTTGGTGCGTAAACCTGTATGACCTTTAGCGAATACCGTATGGTGATTCTGAGTATAAGGTACGCAACCCTCGTCGACACACTCCCGAACTTTACAACGTTGTTAACGAGAGACTTGTGGACGATAAATCCGACACCTCCTTGAGACAGATGGTCGCCTTCCCGGTGATAGAGCAAGTTGCCGGATTCGAGGATTACCGTGTCCTCCCCCTCTCTTCGGACTTCGGATAATCCTATAATATGCCAGCGTAACTTGTCTATCTCTTCTTCCAGCTCCCCGATCTTCTCGTCAGTCCTCAGGGTGCGTGCGTTGTACGTTGCCAGGTCGAGTCGTCTAAGGTGGCAACCGAACCTCCACTGGAGATTCTTAGCACCCCCTGCCCCGCCGTTACCATGGTCGCCACCGTAGCCAGGAATAGCGGGGCCGCCGGGGACTGGGGGCCGTTTCTTGGTTACTGTCATTCATAGGGGGGTATATTGCCATAGTTGCCACGCTTGGCGAGCGGGTTGGCAACCGCAGTTTTTTTATTGTTAGTTTGTTGTTATCAAGAAGATGCTGCTGCCCATCTCCTGCCTGTTTCCCTTGGTCGCCTTTTACGACACCCACGGGAGGATATGGGGTAGTGGATATTCTTGACCGTCACTACACGGCTATATTAAGATAAAGTTTTTTATGAGTATTCCACTAATTAGAAATGAAAATTTTAACTGTTATAAATTAGTTCCCTTGCCGGTATTACATTATGGCCAGACGATAAATAAAATAAATAAATCCGTACGCTCTTGTGAAAGGGTTGAAAGCAAGACCGCTCTCTCAGTCATGCCGCGAGGTCGACGAACGTCGATTACTGTCATGAGAACGACATACAACTTTTTACCTATGACAATTGTGTCGTAGAAATCATGCAGTTTCACACAAATATCTCAAGTTCTTAATGGATCTCTGTCACCCTTGAAAATTTGAAGATCTATCTCATACAAGAAAACCGCTTGATAGTTTACTGAAATGCTGAAACAGCCATAACTAAATTCTGCGACAATGAAGTAAGCCAAGAGATTCTATTAGGAATATATCTCTTAACTATGGAACTGCAAGGTGAAAATCAAAGGATTCGAGCTGAAAAACATCAGACTCAAGGTGAAGAAATAACTTACCTAAAACAGCTAGTAATAAACATACCAAAGATAATAGTCAACCAGTCAATTACTGTGCAGAAGCGTATGAATCTCGATGGAATTAATATAGCAGACGTACAGTTCCTGTAACTATTACTGCAGAAAAGTATGGGAGAAATTAGTGAAAGTGAGTTAAGTGAAAAAAGTAAAATTAGTAATAAGTGTTAGTTTAGTCGACAATATAATTTTAGTTATTATATTAATTATTTTAGGTATTATTTTTATACAAAAATAATTGAAATCTCTAAAATCTGGGAATTCTAGATAATCCCGAACTTGTGAAGGGAGGAGTTATGTCGTCTCAATCCGTCTCTGGCTCAATATTTTAAACAGCCACATCAGCGTATGAGTGAGAAGTCGAGTTTATATATATATATATATATATATATATATATATATATATATATATACATATATAAGATTCTAAAAAACGTAAGACGAAGAACACCTACACTTATCGGGTGGCGATATGATAATTGTACAAGACTTATTTAAATAACATTAATATTAATTCATTCTGTGACTAACCACCTTTGAAAATTAAATCATTTTATACTTTAAATTGTGTTTTTAAAAAGAGCTCGAGGTTCGTCGTAGTTAAAGTATGTAGTCTCGTATAAATTTGATCAACATCTGACCAGTAGTTTATGAGTTATTCTTAATAATGCGTATTTATTAATAATTCACTTTTAACAAAATGCTTAATTTTACCACTTGTGTTAAGTTATGCAAACGTAGTGCTTATGAGTTACTCTAACGACACATTGTGCTAACGTAGAGTCATTAACAAGCGCATCGCCTGTAACCTACGTGGTGCCTGCATCCCCCATGTCGTTGATGAAGACTTATGTTTAAATCTAGCTGTCCCGACTAAGGTCGGTCGACTATACAGGGGCCCATACAGCTGTACTAAGACTCGACGGATAACTAAGGACGGGGCCCAAATGGCCTTATGGAGAATTGACCTACACGACAGTGATAAAGCTAGGTAAATAAATAGTACGTACCTGTTCAGAGGCTAAGAAGGACCACAAGGCTCGTTCAGGCGTTAAGTGTAGTGAATGTAAGTAGTGTGTGAAAAGTGTATATATGTGTAACCTGAATTAGCCCTTTTTAATCAGCAGCAACCCTGACTCCAGCACCGCCACCCTATGTGGTATCACTCCAGCGGCGTCACTCGGTGTCACTCAAAGTCTAGCGGCCATTAGCACAAATCTATAATCTAATACGAATGCTGGTTCTCGCGGAACACAAAGTTTAGCGGTTTTAACCGACACAGGAAAATATCTCCGAGTTAAATCCAATGGCACAAAGGAACTCGTTAACGCGAATTAATATTGTCAGAATGCACTTATGCATGAAAACACAATACCACTGGACGCTAATTAATAGTAACGATGTTAATTAATCGCTCAAACTCAAAATTCAGCGATTAACTATGTCAGTCTGTCAACTCTATTGTACATTTAACTAACTTCAAAACTCAACTAAATCCCGTTAATTATAATCAAAAACGTAACACGCGCATTCTTTTTCACTTCAATCTCGTTATTATGCAGCCAAATCAAAATGTTATGGCGCCTATACAAAACGTTCCGTAAACAGTGTAATTCTATATTAGTCGTTTTGAACGTCAAACATTTTCGGATTCGCGCTTGTGGATTTCGTTTTGTGGTAGTTTTTAATTCCTGAATTTCGTAATTTTTAGTTAATTTGTGTTTTAAAATGTCGAAAAAAAATCGTGGACCTAATTTCTGTGCTAATGAAAAAGAAATTTTAATAGGACTCATTCTAAAACATCAACATATAATAGAAAACAAAAAAACAGATGCAGTGACGATCGCTCATAAAAATGAGGGTTGGAAGGTGCTCACGGAAGAGTTCAACTCCCTGAGTAGTTTCAATGTCCGAAATACCGATCAACTTAGGACTTGTTGGGATAACCTTAAAAGAACGACAAGGAAAGACAAAGCTGCGACTAAGAAGGAGATTTTCTTAACAGGTATGATCTATTTGTAACTAAATATACACGTTATAGTTTTCAAACATTGTAGCGCAGTAATAATTTATGACCTCTATTTCAAATACCTAACTATTCTGTCTGTAAACTCTCACCAAAATTCATTCAGTGGTTTCCTAGTCTGCGAACAGACATAAGTAGTGTTGTAGTGATGCCTAGCGACTAATTACGCTCCTTTTTAGTGTTAACACTGTTTCATAATCTATACTTTGCTATTTCCAGGTGGGGGCAAGCCCAATAATCCACCACCAGGGCCTTTTCAAGGGCAAGTAGAAATATTACTTGGCCCTACATTAGATGGTCTTCCTAACGAATTTGATAGCGATGGTCAATTTCAAGAAGACTCGGTTACACCGTCGAATAAAGTAAAGGAAGTTGCAGAAGTATTACCGACCATTGTTTTATTAGATGCAGTACCTGGCTGTCCAACTGTGGTAATTTTAAACATACTAGCTAGTTCTCTATGTCTTTAATTTATGTGTAATAGTGTATATTTCAACACAAAATATGTACATAAAATACCCTTAGATACCACTAAGTAGTCACAATCTTAAATTAACTTATTATAGCACCTTTACATGGATGAGTTTAACTACCTACTTAACAACTAAAACAAATTGAAAGTAGATTTTCAGATTAACTCAAATAGACTTTGTTTTATGATATAATATATAAATGTATTTCAATACAGATAGATTTTATTTTTAATATTTATTTTATTTCAGATTGACCAAGCTGGTTCCTCGGGACTGAATAACTCCCGGGCTGAATCAGAGGGTTTAAATAAGGAAGCAATTGATGGCAGAAGTCGTTGTGAAGTTCAGGTACCAATCTCATCACAAATATACTATTTCATCGCCAACTGTTATTGGTACTGCATTGTGCAATGCCATTTCAAACTGTTTATGTAGATTTTATCACATAAGTGAAGTTTGAACAGAAAATAATAAACATACTTTTTGTTTTAGGATAAGGATAACATTTGGCATGGTTGGTCTCCAGCTGCACTAAAACCAAAATGTCAGATGCACTGATAACAAAAAAAAGGGGGAGCGACATGGCTTCACAGGAGAATACCAAGGGCTTCAATGGCTGAAAATTTACTGGCTAGCAAGTTGGACCTAGTAGAAATTTTGAAAAAAAATGTAGAAATTGAGGCAGAAAAGAAAAATTTATTGCTCGACGAGCAACTTAAACAAGAAAGATTAAAAGCAGAACTATTAGAGTTACAGTTATCTTTGGCAAAAAATAAAAATTAGGTTACACTGTAAAATGACTTTTATTTATAATGATTGTAAATGCAAACTTCTGAAGTAATTATAAATAAGACTTCTGCGTACAGGATTTATATCTCTGTTTATGTTATCATTATGTCTGTGCTCTCTAATATTAGAGAGCACAGACATAATGATAATCAATCAAATGTTCAATTAAATCATCCCAAGGAGCAGGAAGTTGTATTTCTGGATCATCAGATGGCAGCTCTTCTTTTGCTTTTATTAAGATGTTGTGCAACACAACCGTAGCAACAATTATAGGAAGGCTTCAACTGTACTTGTATACCTAATGCAAGTACTAGGAATCGACGTTTCCATATTCCAAACAGGCGTTCAATGGGGTTCCTACTTCTTATTTGAGATTCATTGTACAATCTCTCCTCTGGGGTTAATGGATTCTGCAGTGGCATCATAATGTATGGTCTGTTTATGTAACCACTGTCTGCTAAAAGAAAGGCATCACCATATTGACCACTTTCAAATATAGTGTTTTATATGATCCGTTCCAAATAGTTTGATCTTGGTTACTTCCTGGCCATCTCGCAACCAAATCTAAAATTTCTAAGTTAGCATTTCCTATTGCTTGCACATTTATAGACATGTAGCCTTTTCTATTTCTAAAATGTTCTCCATTTTCCCCACCAGGAGAACGAATGCGTATATGTGTACAATCCAGAGCACCCAGTGCCTTAGGAAAGCGTGCTATGTTATAAAATTGAAGTTGTTCTTTTTTTACTTCTTCTTCTGAGACAGGAAATTTTATAAACTGGCGACCGAGTGACGCTATAGCCACAGTTACTCGGTGTATAATTCCTTGAGAAGTGGATTTGCTCATTCCATAGTAGTCACCCATAGTTATTTGTTGTGAACCAGTGGCATATTATCTCAAAGTTGGAAGAAGTTGGTTTATTTGCGATATCGACTTGTTTCTGTAAGCAAACAACATTTTAGGTTAGTTTCATACATGCCCGTCATACATATCATTATTCTCTTGATGCTTTGTGTAACATTTACGGTAAAGATGATAAAGTGATCCTATTACAAGTGGAAACACTGTGAATTTTTAAATTGTTACAATTCTGCGGTGTCAATTAGAAATAAAGTAAGGAAGGTTTTTGGATAAATCGAGTTATTTATATATTTTAGTCCTCGTGATGAACTCTATCCAATTCTATATATAACACAATTTATCAAAAATATTTTTACTGCGTTTTCAATTGGTACGGCAGAATTAGCATCCGAATATTTTTAATAATTAATATTAAACACCTTACTTAAAAAGTTGTACTAAATAACAAAAAATAGACATATTTTTAATACAATTTACAAAATAAGGCAATGTTAAAGTAGGTACTCACCGATTTAATGGATATTCAAGTGTATCTTCAATCATTTGCAAAACATCCAAACAAGATTCTTTCGATAAACGAAACCTTGTCCTAAAATCTACATCGTCATATTCTTCAAAATAATCACGTCGCTCTTTATATGTCTTAGGACGTTGAACAATATTATCTAAAAGTTCTAAATTTTCTAAAATATCATCATTTTTGTGTTCAAAAATAAAATTATACCCCGCTTCCATTTTATTTGACCAACTGACAAAAAAATGACAGCCGTTTAAAGCATTAACGGACCTTTGGAGCAGTGATTAACTTTAACGCCTTGTTAAGAGAATTAACCATTCGTTAGTACGTGGTGAAACACTCACCACGCCTAACGGGCTGTTATCTATTTAATTGAATGTTAAAACTAACTAACAGAGTATGGTGAAACTAGTTCTTAGTCAACCTAATCCGAGGCGGTCTTCACGAAACACAATTTAAGTAGCAAAGTAACGCGCACCAATACTGAAAATCTAGACCATAAGCCGAAACTGGTCGCACAAAATCGCTGCCACGGTCACCACAAATACGTTACGTTGCGTCGGCACCGCTGCATTCAAACTACTGTTTTTCGGCCCGCGCGTCAAGCCGTTTACTTCACTTCACACTATCGGGTGATACACTAAGTCGTACGTGATTGGATGCCTCTTCAAATGCTTATATTTAGGCCTAAACAAACCCCCGTCCCGGACATAAGGACTTATGTTTGCCAGCAAACCGGCAAGTGGGACAGGGTCGCGACGGCACGTTGCAAGACCGAATCTACAACCGAACTAGGCCACCTTAAGCGCCCCATCAGATCTTGCAACCTTAACCACCGCCTCAAAAATACAGCCCCAACGTGGGCAAGCCGGAGGGTCGAACCTCCACTGGATGCCCTTGCTGGGCATCGCAGTACCTAAATAAGTCCTATTACTGGACAGAAGTCCGACGACCTCTTTCAAACACCTATCTGTGCCCCTAAGATTCGTCCCGCAATCCGACCGGATCAGGTCTGCAAGCAGCGATGCGATACGAAGCGGCTCAGCGTGGCCACTTAAGTTTCAGTGCAGGGTGCACCCACAATTCCACATGAATGGCGTCTGAGGAGAGCCAAACGATACGCACAGATAGTCCTTAGTATGAATTTTTTAAGCAAGCAGACATAACCAAACTATCCACCTATAATTATTAATTACTAGCTAAGGCTGCTTCCATCAAAGGGGGGACGGCGGTACCCCAGCCGCTGCCACTCAGCTAACGGGGGTGAGAAGGGTCTAGCTGACTGCTGAGTGGCCGTGAAGTTCCTCTCCACACGCTGAGGGGGGGCGACGACACCCCCGCCCCTGGGGGAATAACCCCCCGACTGGTTCGGGGAGGGAACCCTTTCACACCCAGGGGCACGATAGCCGGCAGGCGAGCGCCGAGCGTCGCCCGACAGGGGGCGCGGCTGAGCACCCCCACCCGTGGGAGTCGAGGGCGCGGCAGAGCCCGGAGAGGAAGCACCGTTCACACCCAGGCACAAAACGGCTTGGTGCTTGCCCTGGCAATGCGGATAGGGCCGCTGGTGTGGGCAGTCTCGCTGGAGGTGCCCTTCCAAACAAGAGTAGCACCAGCGGCGCTCCTTGGCGATTATTCGCCTAGCCGAAACCGGCTAACCTAATAACTTCGGGCACGACGTCACCCGGTAATCGGAGGCTCGGCAATAGGAACAGGGGAGCGCCTCCCTGGCCACTAGGCCACTGTAAGATGGTAGAGAGCGGCGCCCTCCCACGAAAGCTTCGATCGGCTTTAACGGGGTTGACGACGACTCGCCCGGCGGATCCCGCCTCTCACTGGGCACGGCTTGTAAGTCGTCAACGGTGCCCGCCGCGTTCTCAATCTGCCGACACTGCTCCCCCAAGAACTGCAGCAGATCACTAAAGGGCGGAATATAGGAGGCGCCGTCCCCGCCATACCTCTCCTAAAAATGTATCCTAAGATCGAGAGGCAGGCGGGACAGCACGATGTGGAGCAACAAGAAGGATCATTCATTCACCGGCAAATCCAGCCGCCTCAACGCATTATAGGCCACCAAGACTGGACGTAGCCTGACCCGGTCCCTAAGCAGTGGGAGGCCTAGAAGCTGCCTGATGTATTCGTCCGCAATTCGCCGGACTTTGGGGTATCTTCCGAGCAGTCTGGTAGGCGTCGTCCGACAATCTCAAATGGCCGACGACGCCCAAGGCCTCTCCTTCCAGTGAGGCTAGGAGGTACACCATCTTCTGGCTTGATGTCAAATCCCTCCGGGCGTCCACTAGGCTATCAAAAAACCCTACAAAGGTCATCTTGTCGGAGAGGACCCCGGAGAACCTTAGCAGGTCCAGAGTTGGGAGTCGTCCCAACAGCTGATTCCGAGGGGATACGAGCAGGCCACTCATCAGAGCTTCACGCGCCTCCTTAGCATACTTGGCCTCCGCCTCGATCAAATCGTCCGGGAGCGAAAAAAAATTCTTGTAGTCCGCGAGGCACGAGTCAAGGACTTCCTGTTCCGCATCCGAAGCCAAAAGCTCTGTGCGAGTCTCCACTACTACAGCCCTTCGGGCATCGACCTGCTCGAGCCGCTTCCCTAAACTATGTACCCGATCAGATCGACCTATCAAAATATGGGCGTTCGCGGCCCAGCGCAGCTCCGCCTGCTGGCGAAGCGCCGGTTGCTTGTGCGACGGCATCACTAATAAATACACTTAACTACGCGGCTTAAATACAAATCAATTAACAAATAACAAATACAATTACGATCAAATCAAGTTACATACAAATTACACAAATACAAATTACTATTTATTAAATTAAATACAAATTACACTACACGGCAAGTATGCACTACAGTCGGTCAGAAAAGATGCCTCGCTAAAGCGACCGACCCTTCGACAATTAATCTACTATAATTATACGATAACGATAATTATCCGATTACGTGATAACATTATCTACCTACTCAAAACACCTTACGCGTAAGTACCTAGCCCTAACAAACAAAAAATAAAAACAAAAAAAGGAAGAAAAAAGAATATTTTTATTTTTCTAACATAGCCGAGGGTAATTTTGAGACCAATTAACCACTCTCTGCTACCAAGAATGTACACGCCCTTAGCTGTCCCGACAAAGCTCGACTATACAGGGGCCCATATAGCTTTAGACTCGACGGATAACTAAGGACGGCCCCAAGTGGCCTTATGGAGAGTTGACCTACACGACAGTGATAAAGCTAGGTAAATAAATAGTAAGTACCTGTTCAGAGGCGAAGAAGGACCACAAGGCTCGTTCAGGCATTAAGTGACAGGTTTTAACCGACACAGGAAAATATCTCCGAGTTAAATCCAATGGCACAAAGCAACTCGTTAACGCCAA